AGCTTATCTTGTCCGACGTTAGCATAAACAAATCTCAATTCAGCGACCTTAAAAAGGTCATATGTGATGCCTCAAGCAGATTTCCCATGGGCTCTGTGGTTTCACACTACTATTACTAATCCGATTTCTAATGCCATCTGCAAATATGTCGCTTTCACCACCCATCACTGCTTGCAATCGTTGTGAAGACTCTTGTTTAATTCACAGCGGTTGCTTTCGCTCTTCATGATGATCAAAATCAGTTAGAATAAGTCTTCTCTCATCAGTCAGTAGTAGGTAGTCGAATCAGACTGGTCTACTTCATTGGCTCTTCCAGTCTATAAGAAGGGAGAGAAATCTCCGTGTGACAACCATTGGGGGAGGATCAGTGTGACTAACATCATGTTCAAGATCCTAGGGTCCATAGTTATTCAACGCCTAACTGGAGTTCGAGAACAACAAACTCAAAAAAAACCAGACAGATTTCAGACCTAGAAGAGAGTGCATCGATTAGGTCTTCACCCTTCGACACGTTCTGGAACATTGTCATTATCCTTAGTGTTCAGCACTTGCCATATTTCTTGACCTGGAGGCAGTATTCGATTCTGCTGAGAGTGAAGTGTTGTGACAGTGCATGATTGGGAAAAGGGTGTACCGAGTAAGTATGTAACGGTAATCAAAACTCTCTACTTGAACTTATACAGCCGTATTAGGATTTATGGAGAATTGTCATATGAACTGATGATAGTTAGTGGTGTCCACCAAGAATGCCAAATCTCACCGTTCTTTTTTAACTTCGCTTTAAACATAATGATGAACATAATCCCCGTTACCTCTGACTTTACAGAAACTGACCTACTTCCTGGAGGGTGCATTTTTGTCTGCAAGTACGCAAACAATGTTGTCTTGGTGAGCGAGGACCCTGACACAATGCAAGGTTTCCTAAATGCTTTGAGCAGAAATCTGAGTATGTTTAACATGCGTTTAGTGCCTGTGAAATGATGTTTCAGGACAGGTCAACAACTACTCCAAGCTTAAGGACAGACAGTTCAGTGGTCAAATACGTTGACCACTTCACTTACCTGGAGTGTTCCATCACCTGAAATAGGTTGGTTACTGACAATATCTCAACTCGAATACGGAAAACCCTTTTGGCATTTGCCAATATACACCACTTCTGGTGCGGGAAAGATGTATAGTTTCCTATTAAACGAAGGTATGGTGCATTGCATTCGGCTCTGTCGTGTTATATGACTGAGTCATGACCATTGAAACTAGAACATCAGAAGAGAACACGAGTTTCCGATCACAGGTGTTTTCGTGGCATTGGTCACTCACGGTGGAATCACCGTATGGGAAAGGTCTAGGTTAGGAGAAGTGTGCTAAGCATGGCAGACAAGTCAATCGATGACGTTGTGAAACTTCAACGAGTGAGGTGTTACACATGCCCATCCACCGCCTACATCGACGTAGAATGCTAACAGAAGTTGGACTAGGTTGGAAATAGGCTCTTTGTGGTGAGAAGAAAAAATAGAACCAGCACACCCTGAATGTTGGTGTAATGCGCGTAAAGAAGTGCTGACTACTTCACCTGGGTCCAGGAGAGGATAGGAATCAGTGGTTGAGGACTCTTGGTGAAATGACAGAAAATCCATCACAGTGGCGCATATCTGTTCACTTGTTAGCTTCTTCCTAACCTTGTTTATTTTCGCTGACCCTAATTTTTAAATTCTCTCTCCTCCCATACACATCTACTTTCTTTGATACATATTTTTCTGTTCACTTATTCTTAATATACTACTGTGAAGTGTAGCAATTTGAAGTAATTCACCTATATACCAATTTCTACTGTGATTTTGTCTACCTGACTACCTCTAATTCCCATACAATAACTGTTACCTCTTCTGGTCTGCTCAGTAATTTCCTACTTCAATCTCTGAGAACTTCGGATAGTAAACCGTAAACTCCTCCTCCTTTGCATCGTTCTAGGTTAAAAACAGCCTTCTCAGCTTTAAGAAAAGTTGGAGGACCGCCATCTACATCCTTCCTCTGAAGTTCTTGTTGAATGCTGGGCAACTGAAGCATAAGCTTAGGCCAAGTGAACTGTTTTAGTCGTCTGTCCTGGAAGGTTATCATAAACCTTTACGTTTCGATGATGATCTCATTTACCATTGTCTTCTTGTCGGTTTCGCTAGTAATCCAATATAGTTGCTGGGCGATACATAATGTTGATGTCTTCTTCATCTCTGTCGCTTTCGCTACCCACCACTGCTTGATCAGTTTTCGTTTAAGTTGCTTCTGCTGTTCATGGTGGTCAGAGACAACTGGAATGAGTCTTCCCGCATCAGTGACTTTAAATGATGTTGCTGAAATCCACTGGCTTTTGGTAGTTTTTGGATGTAGGTTACCAACTATCTTTAACATTGTTTCTACAGGAGACACTAGAATGCGAACTGTTGTCACATTCAGGCGTATACTTTTTATCTGCTCCCTAAATATATGTTTGACGTTTTCATCTTCTAAACGAGAGCACACAGGCTTGATTGTTACATGTTTACTGAGGTCAGTAAGGTTCAATCATACACGTGCCCGTACTAACACGTGGTTGGAGTACAAACAGGTATCCTAGAAAAAGTGGCAATCCTCCACCAATCTTCTCTAACAATGACTTGTAACAACATGACCTGTCTGCACCCCCGTTAGTTTGATGTCAGTAAACACCAAGTGTGACAGTGTATCTCCTTGTCCTTGAAGTTAGGGGTAATTAAAAGAAGGGGTCGTAAGAATGTAATTGCATGAGACGATCATCACTGTGAGTTTTTTTGATAGGATTCTGTAGATAATTTTCCGACTGTCTCAGCTTCTTTAATTGAGCACTGAAGTCGCCTGATACTGCAACTATATCTAGACGTTTTGCTCATAACTCATCTTTTGCATCATCTGAACTGCAGTCGGTGAGCATCTGACATTCTGGACTCAATCATCGACAGGAGAATACCTGGCTAGTTTTCGCACACACTGTTGACCTTTTTAAGATGAGAACGATGATGACGGCCTCATCTCAGAATGATAGAGTACTATTAGTCGTATACATATATATTTAAAATCTAGGCTGTTCCCTAATTAGAATTCCACATTCTTCTTTTATCCAAGTCAACTGTCTTATGACAACTTAAAACTGAGAATACCTTCTGGATCTCCATTTGTTGGGTAGTCTGTTTTCTTTTAAGTACAGATTAACGTTTGTATTAGAGTGTATTTGGTGAATTGTATTGATTGATAAAGCATCTGATTTACATACTATCTCACTGATGAACTTAGCTACTCAACTGGATTTATTCATTTGTCATTGAGTGAGAGATTAACATCACAGCATAAACAATGCTATTGAAAATGAACAGAAGTTGAATCTGTTTTCAGAAAATATGTTATTTGAAGGTCACTGTTCCTATAGCTAATATTGTGTACGTCACTCAATCAACGTGCTGTTTAAGTGAAACTACTCAATTTTCGGGCATAACATTATATCCTCCAGGTTCGCCACATGATGCAATTCCGCGTATAGAGAGCCGAATGTTGACCCCATTATTACACCATTCTTCTCATGTCTATCCAATTTATTATTAAATTTTAACTGAAAGATGATATTGTAAGGCAGAAGTAGCTCTTCAAAATGATACTTTAGGTTACTGACATCGAAATCTTTAACTGTGGCTAAGTTGTCTAGGAAGCAAATTGTTTCTGTGTTAATGATATATTGGTGAAGAATGATTTAATCGGTGTTCTCTTTCATAACGTCGTATTATTCATGACACCTCTAACCTTCTTTTTACTGATGGATCGAAATAATCAAAAGTATGATGATATACGTTAAGAAAACGATATCAAGAAGAGAATTTTCTCTTCTTAATACGACAATCTTCCACAACAGTATTTATGCAAGCGTAAGAACAAACTAGACTAATTTCCGCGTTATGTTTGAGTACTGTCTTACTATAAAAACCTGAATAAGTTCCTTGTAACACTGTTTTATGGGTAAATATCATCAGTCCTGTTAGCTAACAATGTTCAGAATAGAACTCAAACTGTTTTTCATTAATTTCATACACTTGAACTCAGGATGTTGTCTTAATAACTATCTATCCAGAACTGGAATTGCTTCTAATCCTTGTTGAAATCTTGTTTTTCATATGAGTGGCTGGTAAGTTCTATTTGACTTGCCTTTTATTATACGAGGCTTTTTTCACACGCTTTCTTCACATTAATAACTGTTATCTATCTGTTTCTTCTCTAATATCAAAATTGTGGTGTTGCTTCTTCAAGATCATTGATAAGCTTGTCAAATTTCATTTGCTGATACACCTGTAAATCGAAAATTAGACTCATTAATCCTTCTTACTTGTTGCTAACTATCTGAATAGGACCGTGTGTTAGAGGAAGTTGTTCTATGAATAAGTTTAACGTTCATTGCAGTGAGCTTTGAATAGGAGGAAAATCGGTAATAGATAAATAAGCATATATCAATGTGTTTTTTGAGGTTAATGCCAACTGAAGACCTTGGGTAATAGTCATGCTATATCGCGAATTGGCATAAGTTAGAAACTATGAACTATTGAACTGCTACCCAGTGGCTGAATGGTTAACGTGTTTGCCGTAAACAGGAACGTCTTGAGTTCGATGCCTAGTCGGGTCGTGGGTGCGTACTGCTAGGATGAAACAGCTGCCAAGTGCTCTTAGGTTTTCAATGGTTCTCCAATTGATATCAGTTCGTGATTAATACGTTAATGTTTTCTGTGGGTTAATTATTCTTTCTCACATAGTGGTTTGTGTACACACTGGTTTCACACAAATTATATACCTTCTGTTCTGTAATGTACTAATGCCCATGAAAATAAGGTTATGAATTGACCATCGTTTTTTGAGCTTTGGTTGCTAAGAAATCCACTTCGTATACTTACCGTTGGTTAGCATTTTTTGGTCTGTACCATCTTATTGAAGTTATAGTTTTCTATACTATTTAGGTCTCATCATAAGTACTCCAACTGGAAGTACAGCGTATTCAATGACTGCTGGTGCCAGTATGGTACATCCATGTGTTCCTGCTCTAGTTCTAACACCAATCAATTCTTTAGCTTTAAGTTCACGTGCTATTGTTCTTCCAACATCTATAAAGCTGGAAATTTCTATTGCTACCAAGGCTCGTTGTTCAGCTGTACACTTTTCTTTTGATGGACGTTCACGACATTCAAATCTGCTGCATAAAGGTGATGTTATCATGGTCAGCGCCTCACCGTATCCCATTCCGTGCCTCTGCAGTGAAAATCAGGTATGCTGTTTTTGTGATAGCATCTAATCATTATTTTTTTTTACCATAACTGAAATTTTCTGGACGCTTTATTCGCCAGAAAATGTCGAGGTCGAACCCATGTTAGAACTCCATATATGTATATTCAAGGTCATTAAGTTTTTGAGTATCATTACTTTCTTTATACAATGTTTACTGCACGTTTATCTTCTAACTATACTGTAAGACAATCTGGCAAAAATGAATGATAGCTATACTAACGGGTTTAGAGTACGGCTTTCTGTGTTAATTGAGAAAAATATTTCAATATCATTTTATCATAATTATACGCTAAGGTCATTGGACTTCTATGTACCATCATACTTGATTTCATGTCTGAAAGAGTTAGCTAGTATTTTGGTCAATACATACAGTGTTGTAACTCCAGAACCTCGCGAAAAGTTTATGTACCAGTCTGTCCCCTCTACACCCTTTATGGTCACCAGTGGTTTTACTTGAGTAATTGATTAGATACAGCCGAATTGAGCTCGAAGTTGTCACCACTGTGATGTGCGTTTTTTTTCATCTTGAGAAGCTCTTAAAATTGTATATAGTTTTACATGGACAGTGTAGGCATTAAATCACTAAAGTGTTTTCAGTAAGGACGCAGAAGTCACCTGGAATTAAGTATTGAATATTGAACATGAATTCTGTTGCTGTTGGTAATTATATACCTTTACTAAACACATGTTGATTATGCTAAAACATTTTTGTTGCCATCTAAGTCAGTGAAATGGATACAGTTTGAGCCTTTTGGTAAAACTTAAGACCAGTATATTCCTATAGATTAATCACATGTTGTACAGATAAACTGATTGCATTCAGAAGTGAAACATTACTAGTATAGGCGTGTATAAGTATATTGCTATCCTTTAAAGTCACACTTCTCTGGTAAGTATAACCTTTCTGTTTCTTATTCTCAAGTTTTGGATAAATAGGGGCCTACTTCACTAATAAACTGCTTACTTTTTACTACTTCCACCGAGATGAAATCGAAATGCGCTCAGCAACCTTGTCCACATCCATGCAGTAGGCAGTGAACCACACCTATTGTGCAAGGACTATGGATACTGTCTTCCTACCTCACCTAAGCTCAGTAGGTGGAGTGGTGTTCGATTCCGTTGCCCGTTGGTTGAAAGTCATCTCCCTGAACCAATGAATCACAGCCTCACTTTTACTATCATTTGCCATAACTTTCGTGTTAGCCACGATTGGTGGGCTTTCTAGTTTGGCGTTTGACGGTACTACAGTCGTCTTTATTGTATGGTGACTGATACTTATTGAATGATGTTGTTCAGACTCTTGCCAATTCAGCAAATACTTTTCAGCTGCATACATATTTAGCATTTAACCTTGTTTTGTTTTCTAGGTTACAGACTGGTTTTGTGGTTTAGCATACTGTCTTAATTGGAATCTACGTCGACGTCAGAATGCAGTGATGAAGTGTTGTTCAATGAACCAATAATTTGTTTGTTCATAAAGAATCGGGACCGTTTTTTATTGACTTTTTGATCACTGTCTTCTTTCAATTTTTCCCTCAGGTTTGATTTGTTGTGATTTTATGTACATTTGGTTTCTCTTTTTCGTTCCATTAAATCGTTTTGATTATTCTTTTCATCAGTAAGTTGTAAATGATTCATGCAGCTACACAATAATGTCTTTAATGTTGACTTGTTAAAGTTCTCATTAATCAAGGAAATAAATTATACTTCTTATTCTTCATGGGTTAGGTACCGGTTTTTGTTTAGTAAGGTGATTTTCTGTAGACTTAAGTAGTGTGTCACAATGCGTTTTAATAAAGTAGTAGCTCATCATGAAGAATATGGAATATAAACTATCACCTGTAATCTACTCATGGGAAGATGGTTTCACTGGGCTATAGGACAGTTGTAACTGCACAATTTCTGATCTGCGATAAAACCATGGGAGGCATATTCAGATTCTGACAGAAATGATACCAGTAAGAAGTGAGTACTTTGAATAACTAACGGATTAATAAAATGAGGACCAAATGTGAACTCATGTCTGAATCGAAGAAAGACATGTATGAAAAGTTTGAAACAACGTCACACCAAACAGTAGGCTTATTAGGTGTCTTTTACTGATATTTTTTCTTCAGTATCATCTTGAAACAAACTATCTAGTTGTTTGTGCACATTAACTTCTCAATTTTATGTATTCTGAGAGTTATCAATAACCAGTTAGTCAGTCTCGCTGTGGTTGCTTTTTCACGAAGACAATCACCTGTTTCGGTTATCAGTAGTCAGTTCATTCTCGTTACAGACGCATAAAGAGTGCCACAAGGATATCGTTTTCACGATTCCATCTTTCTGTTGCTATTTTTGGATCTGAGTAGATGTAGCGTCATACACTTCCCCAAAATCAATAGCCTAGGGTTTGGCGACTTTCGACATTGATGCTGACCTTGATAGTTTAACTGGACTCGCTAAGCTGAAGGCACCCGGCCAAGCATCCTCGCCATTTGGCACGCTGTCGTGTTACGTTGCATTGCTCGTATTCGACTCTCTAGCCAGTTAGTTGGAACGCATCGGTATTTTGGCATAACCATCCAAATATACTATTCCATCCGACTACGCTATCGTGTTCTTCCTTGGTCTCGTATTCGTGGGTATATAACAAGTTCGAATAATTAGTGATTGGTCTTTGCGTCTGTCAAGTTCGCACCAGGACAAATCCTAAATTGGTGAGCCCGACGTGATCACATATCCCGACCAATAACAAGTATTGAATTGGTGAGCCTGTTCCATTTTATATTTGTTTATTGTTTTCATTTCGATAACATTTATATATCCATTTACTACACTTTCTCATGTCCGACCACACTCCCAAGCTTATTCGTATTAAGCCGACCTCGAACACGATCCAACTCGTGCCATATTGGCCAGACAATGCAGAAACATGGTTTCTGTATGCCGAGGCCGATTTTCGAGAACAGGGTGTCTCAGATCCTCAATCTCGATTTCTTGCTGTCATACGGTCACTACCGCGAGAATTAAACAGGTATGTTACAGCAAACATGTTTAATCCTGAAGTAAGTGACCCTTATGCACTTCTAAAGGCCGCACTCTTGAAGAAAAGCGATCTCACAGATCGCCAACGTCTAGACGAATTGCTTCGTAACATCGAGCTAGGCAGCCACTCAGCTACTGAAGTCCTCGCACGCATGCGAGAAGTAATCGGTGCACGAACATTTGACGATGGTTTCTTCCGAGAACTATTTCTCTCGAAACTACCACAACCGGTGCAAACCGTGTTGGTGACACTCCAGTCAGTCCCACTCGACGACCTGGCAGCCTCAGCAGATAAAATACTGGAGATATCCAGCAGACCCGTCTCCAACGTATATTCTATCTGCGACAAACCAGAGCGCCAGGATTCAGAGGTGACCAAGTTGTGCAACTCTGTGAGACGGTTGCTACGATCTCGAAGTCCTAGATCACGTAGCACTTCACAGAAACGCACCTTGGCGCATCGCAGCAAGTCGCGTGGTAGCCCTAAAACGAAACCCAACAGGGTGGAAAACCCTGAATGGTGCTGGTTTCATAACACTTACGGGGATGAAGCCAGAAAATGTCGTAAACCATGCCGTTTTAAGAAGGACACAAACTCGGGAAACGGTCACGCCGGCACGTTCTCACGGCAACCGTAGCCGGCGGAAAAGGCCGTTTGCTCTACGTCACGTATATTAAAACGAAAGTCGCTACCCTCTGGACACCGGTATAGAAGTTAGCGTCCTCCCCGCAACGACAAAGAAGCGTCATCATGACCCATCCTTCAATCCTCAAGCAGCCAACGGCAGGGCAATCGCGACATCCGGGGGACGGTATGCCTACCTCAACTTAGGTTTACGTAAACCTATTCACTGGATTTTCCTCCTGGCTGACGTCTCTATGCCCATCATTGGCATAGATTTGCTGAACCATTACGATCTACTCGTAGATGCTCGCCGTCGACGACTGATAGATAACAGCACAAAGTTATCTATTGGCGGCACCACCTATGTAGGTCCGAGTTTAGCCATCGTTAGGACTAAACAATCAGGCGACGCGTCCTACCAGGCAGTTCTGGAGAAATATCCAGAGTTACAGCAACCGAAGCACACTCTTCCGTGCATAACCAGCAATGTTATGCATCACGTCACAACCACAGGTCCACCTGTGGCATCCAAAGCGCGCCACCTAGCCCCCGATAAGCTCAAACGGCGAAAAATGAATTCGACCACATGCTCGAACTGGGCATTATCAAACCGTCAAACAGTCCTTGGGCATCGCCATTGCACATGGTTCCCAAAAAGGATAGCAACGACTGGCGTCCAACCGGTGATTACCGAAGGCTCAACGCCAAAACAACCCCAGACCGCTACCCGATACATCAATACAAACCCTCGTACACTTTGCCTTTTTATATCAATTTTTATTACCATGTAATAAAAACTAAAAAAACCGGCGAAGATGAGCGTAAATTTTTATTTTTCGATATGTTTATATATAAATAATTCTCATTTTTACGCAACGTTTTCGTGGTATTAAGGACTTTCATTTATATTCCAGGTGCAACGAGCACTAGACGGAACGTCAAAAGGAACAGATGACCGCGACCGACGTACAATTTCATTTGTTGTATTTTATTTATTTAATCGCCACGACACCCTAGAATAAGTATCAGACAACCAGGGGCCACCTCACGCAGTGAGAGTTTTACCAGTGGAGAAACCACTGGGTTTTTACTTCCGGCTGGTATCGTCTTAGGGTCCTCACGAACCCACTAGGGGGGAGTGATCTGTAGCGTCACACATTTCACCAAAATCAATACCTAGGGTTGGACGACACTCAACATTAATGCTGACCATGATAGTTCAACTGGACTCGCTAAGCTGAAGGCACCCGGTCAAGCATCCCGCCATTTGGCACGCTGTCGTATTACGTTGCATTGCTCGTATTCGACTCTCTAGCCAGTTAGTTGGAACGCATCGGTATTTTGGCATAACCATCCAAATATACTATCCCATCCGACTACGCTATCGTGTTCTTCCTTGGTCTCGTATTCGTGGGTATATAACAAGTTCGAATAATTAGTGATTGATCTTTGCGTCTGTCAAGTTCGCACCAGGACAAATCCTAAATAGATGTTGTTTGGTGCTGTAAAACGTTACTGGTTGTCATTTATCCCGATCTGTGAAGCGGTCCTCCTGTATCCAATGTGTTTTGCAAATTATTTTTTAAGCCACAGGAATCCCTCCACTTTAAACCTCACCTTAAAAATAATTAAAGCTTAGCACAAAACACCAGTGTGTGTGTGACGCTGAACTAACCGGTGTGTGAGATACGTCTAAGTGTAGTCAAGTTTCTAACTCTTGCGATATTTAACGAGATCTATATCAACGGATGTTTAACTCAAGTCTATTATCCAAATTCCTTAGTTTCATACGAATATTAAGTCTTGTAATTGAAGCCGCAGCAGTCACGGCAAAGCTGTCTACCTACGACGTTGTGTCCTGGGTCTAGATGGAGGAAAAGAGAATAGACTTTCGAAAGTTATAAATAGTATCATCGCTAAAATACACTCCAAATCAACCTTGACGGCCTGCAGTTTGTCACAAAATAGCCAACATGGCTTCGCACAGCTTTAGGACAAGCTGTTACGATACTGTCAAATAGACTTAAAGCCATGAAGGACAGATCCTAGGAAATGGCTGTATAATCAAAACACACGTTAGGTAGCTCAGGGTAAAAACAAACGGGACATAAAACTATATCCGTTAGCGACAAGGTAGGTGAAGGCGCCAGTTAACAAGTCGTACAACTTTTGCTCACCTGTATTTATCATAGTCCTGAAAAAGATCAAAACGGTGATGCTAGTGGTCACAGCGACTATATACAGACAATGCTGGAAGGAAATCGGAGTTCCGGACTAAGGTCGATGGGTTTTACGCAATAGGTCGTTGTAGGCTAATCACTCTTGGGGAAGAATTTTGATGAAGTTTTTAATCAGTAGTCAGAGGGATGACATTGACCTTTGTCCTGGTATCTACTAAGAGGCATATCCCAGACTGGTGGTCTCTGACGAAGATGAGGCAATATACGACGGTTTTGACACTGGTATGAGTTGTCACTACATGTCGACTTACATGTACAGTATTCCAGTTCGCCTTTTCGTATTGCCACTACGTTAACAACGCAGACTGAAAACCTTTTGGTTTCGATCGATGGAGATAACCTCAAGTGGAAAGTCCAAAACATGACCCGTAACCCTGATTATATGATATTTGCTGTCCCTGTATTTGTCTCCGCATGCAGTACAGTTCTTGTGAAACCTTAAAAATATAAGCAGTAGGTCAAAATTTCGTATGGTTACTGCTGCTTGCGTACGTTCCTGATTGTGATGGAACCAGCAGTTGTGCTAATAGATCCCAAAAGACTACTCAATGGTCTTGTTACTTTTACA